GTCCAAGTCTCAACTCCAACTAAACCTGTTGAGAGTAGCCCATCATCTGAGATGTGGCCTTGCAGTCCTCAGCATCATCATGAAGCACTGCAAAATAACAGACCCTCTGTCATAAAGTTTGCACCAAAAATAGCTCAGGTAACATCAGTCCAAGCACCAGAAGAGCCTGCACCAGTGACCCCCCAGAAACCCAGCACCCAAGAAAAAGGTGGCATAGCTAAAAATCTCATTCTGACCAGTTGGTCAATTGTTGCCAGTTTGGCCTTTGTTGGCCTAAAACTAACTAAAACCTTATGTTGGCCCTTTTCTGCATGTGGCCCGTTGGCCCTTGTCTGCATGTGGCCCGTTGGCCCTTGTCTGCATGTGGCCCGTTGGCCCTTGTCTGCATGTGGCCCGTTGGCCCTTGTCTGCATGTGGCCCGTTGGCCCTTGACCGTGATTTTCAAGTGGCAACTGTTATTACTAAATAAACTTATCATATTTTGTTTTTAGTGGAGTGGCTTTGGGCTGCAAAAGACACCGGGCGTGTGGAGGCAGTCGTTGGGCCATACAAATTGTATGACTCTTCTTTTCGAACACTGGAGGACAGTGGGTGGCTTTCTGATGAGGTAAGTGAAGTAATCATTTTTGGTCCTAGTGGTGGTCTTTAAAAATAATCTTCTTTTAATCCAAACAGGTCATTGATGCATACCTGCACTGCCTCATTAGGAAACAAAAGGCAAGTAAGAACGTATGCCGGTTATTTCACAAAAGTATTTTATACAATTTTGTAATCTTTAAAAAAAACTATTACACTTTTCAGAAACCCGTGTATCAGTTGTCTGGCGTTGTTGCAACCTCTCTGTTTTCTGGGAAGTTTAAATGTGTCAGCAAGGTAATGTAGATGTTATATAAGTCATATAGTGCATGTTATGTAAATGAATCTAAATCTTTATAAACTAAAAAATATTCCACAGATGTTGTTTCCGGCTGAGGACATTTGGTTGTGCCCACTGAACTTTGGTGCACACTGGATCCTTGTGGTACATGTTAACACCTCATGTGTTTTTTTTTTCTCTTTTTTTGTTTTATTATTCTTTTAGCAGCATATTCTTATTTTGAAAATGTTTGCAACTGATTATGTTTACTTAAGTGAGTGTAATAAACATTCTACTAAATACGATTTTCATTTTAGGTTGTCAAAATCTCCTCACAATCTGTACTGCTGTTAGACCCTCTTGGAAATGAAGGTTGTTATGAAAGGAAAATTTTGCGTAACTGGAGGTATTCATCATTCATTAATTATCTGTTTTGGGTTGTTTGGTTTGTGTTTTTATTTTAGAGCAAAGTGCTTGCAAAAAACTTGTTTTGTTTTTATTAGGAATTTTCTGAAGATGAAAGGAAATGAAGAGTTCCGAGTGGATTGGAAAATGGAGAGACTGCCACACAACAAGCAGATGGACTCCAGCAGTTGTGGAGTTTTAGTGTTGAAGGTATTTAATAAGCAATTGCATTTAATTGTATTTTACTAGAATTAAGTTAATTGCAATTACTGTAACATATTTTACAGTTTGCCGAACACTACCTTATGAGTGGAGAGGTTACTAGGGTGCTGTCCACTCCAGAAGCCATTGGGCTGCAACGCGCAGAAATTGCTTGCGAACTGCTAGAACATCAAAGTAAGTTGAGTCATGTGCTTTTGTATTGCAATAGCACTTTCAGTTTTGTTTAAAAACTGTTAGGTTGAACGCCAGTGTGTTTCTAGGTAATGCTGATGACTACTGTGTGGTTTGTTCCATGCTGGAAGCCGATCCTGAGTCCAGTATGATTGAAATGGTAAAACAAATAAACCACAAATGCAATATATAGTGGCTGGCAATAGTATTCGGCCCATTTGAACCTTTCTACATTTTGTCACATTACAGCCACAAACACGAATCAATTTTAATTGTAATCCTACGTGAAAGACCAATACAAAGTGGTGTACATGTGAGAAGTGGAATGACAATCACACATGATTCCAAACAATTTTTACAAATGAACAACTGAAAAGTGGGGTGTGCGTAATTATTCAGCCCCCTGAATCAATACTTTGTAGAACCACCTTTAGCTGCAATTACAGCTGCTAGTCTTTTAGGATATGTCTCTACCGGTCTCTAGCTGGTAGAGAAATTGGTCTTTCACGTGGAATTCCAATAAAATTGATTCTTGTTTGTGAATGCAATCTGACAAAATGTGGAAAAGTTCATGGGGGTTGAATACTTTTGCAAGCCACTGTAGTAATTATTTTCTCATGAAATTCGTAATGTTGGTTAACACACTTACACCCCCCTCCCTTCTCCCTCTCCAGGTGCAGTGTGAGAGTTGTCTCAGATGGGCACATTTTGGATGTGCTCAATATGAGAGCAGCCTGGTCAAGTACCTGTGCAACAAATGTGCATAATTTGTTATGAATACTATTTCTTTTTCAGTTCTTTGTCCCTGTGTTCTGTTGGATCTATAAATGTCACATATATGTATCTGTGAATATATTCAGTAAATATATACTGTAACTATAAGGGAGTGAGTTCATTGTCAAAGTTTATATAGTCAGGTGTTCCAATCACTTCAATGGTGACAGCTGCATAACTTAAGCACCTTGGCATGCAGACTGCTTCTACAAACAAGGTCCAAAGCGTGCTACCTTTGTTATTATAAACTAGAAGCATAAGAATTATGTGCCAAAACATGCTACCTTCGTTATTATAAACTAGAAGCATAAGAATTACGTGCCAAAGCATGCTACCTTCGTTATTATAAACTAGAAGCATAAGAATTACGTGCCAAAGCATGCTACCTTCGTTATTATAAACTAGAAGCATAAGAATTACGTGCCAAAACATGCTACCTTCGTTATTATAAACTAGAAGCATAAGAATTAGGTGCCAAAGCATGCTACCTTCGTTATTATAAACTAGAAGCATAAGAATTACGTGCCAAAACATGCTACCTTCGTTATTATAAACTAGAAGCATAAGAATTACGTGCCAAAGCATGCTACCTTCGTTATTATAAACTAGAAGCATAAAAATTACGTGCCAAAGCATGCTACCTTCGTTATTATAAACTAGAAGCATAAGAATTACGTGCCAAAGCATGCTACCTTCGTTATTATAAACTAGAAGCATAAGAATTACGTGCCAAAACATGCTACCTTCGTTATTATAAACTAGAAGCATAAGAATTACGTGCCAAAGCATGCTACCTTCGTTATTATAAACTAGAAGCATAAAAATTACGTGCCAAAACATGCTATCTTCGTTATTATAAACTAGAAGCATAAGAATTACGTGCCAAAACATGCCACCTTCGTTATTATAAACTAGAAGCATAAAAATTACGTGCCAAAACATGCTACCTTCGTTATTATAAACTAGAAGCATAAAAATTACGAGCCAAAACATGCTACCTTCGTTATTATAAACTACAAGCATAAAAATTACGTGCCAAAACATGCTACCTTCGTTATTATAAACTAGAAGCATAAAAATTACGTGCCAAAGCATGCTACCTTCGTTATTATAAACTAGAAGCATAAAAATTACGTGCCAAAACATGCTACCTTCGTTATTATAAACTAGAAGCATAAAAATTACGTGCCAAAGCATGCTACCTTCGTTATTATAAACTAGAAGCATAAAAATTACGTGCCAAAGCATGCTACCTTCGTTATTATAAACTAGAAGCATAAAAATTACGTGCCAAAACATGCTACCTTTGTGAATATGACCTACAAGCACACTTTAATGGGTAAAAAGAAGTGTCAAACCGTACTGGCTTCATGAGTAACAGCTACAAACATACTCTGATTGGCAAAGTTAAACTGTCATACCTACTTAAATTTGTGCTGGAATTATTGTTTGGCAGCAGAAATGTGCAGAGATTACGTACAGTAGGACATTTGGCCAAAGTAGGGCAGTTTGTCATGAGGCAGCGTAAAGTTATCCTACGGGTAGGACGTTTTGTCAAAGTAGGACGTTTTATCAGAACACCGGCTCTTTACCCTTAGGGCGTCCTGGAGAGTGTGTGGGAGTTTTCCCAACTAATCTACAAGTGTTTTGTGGATTTGAAGGTGTTCGACCGCATACCTTGGGGGGGCCCTGTGGGGGGTACTTTCGGAGTATGGGGTACAAGGCCCTCTGATACGAGCTGTTAGGTCCCTGCATGACCGGTGTCAGAGCTTGGTACGCATTTCCCACAGTGTCAGGCTTGTTTTCCGTGAGAGTTGGACTCCGCCAAGGCTGCCCTTTGTCACCGATTCTGAAGCTCTTGATTAACTAGTTGATCTACGTTCCTACCCTCATCTATGGTCACAAGCTTTGGGTAGTGACCTAAAGAATGAGACTGCAGATACGAGCGGCCAAAATGAGTTATTTCCACAGTGTCTGGGCTCTCCCATTGAGATAGGGCGAGAAGCTCGGTCATCCGGAAGGGGCTCAGAGGTGTAGACCCGCTGCTCCTCCACATCACGAGTAGCCAGTTGAGGTGGCTCGGGCATCTGGTTAGGATACCCTCTGGTGAGGTATTCTGGGAAAGTCCAACTGGGAGAAGATTCAAGGGAACACCCAGGACACGCTTCAGGGACTAGGTCAGGGAAGTCCTTGGGATTCCCTCGGAGCAGCTGGCCGAAGTTGCTAGGGAGGGGAAAGTCGGGGCCTCCCTGCTTAGGCTACTGCCCCCGCGACCCAACCCCGGATAAGTGGACGATAGTGAACGATTAAACAAAGCTTGTTGACATTATCGCTACTATGGCAGGTTTTGGAAAGAGGGGGTGGGGGAACACAATTTAAAGGCAAGTGCGGTCTTGTTAACCACTACAAATAAGAATTTCTGTCTCATTAAAAAAAAACTTAGTATATTAAAGAAATTTTTTCCTGTATTGAACTGTGACAGGTAAAAAAACTCATCATCTTGGAGGACACTGAAAACAATTTGTTGGTTGAAACTGATTTTTCTTTTTGCCTCAGCAGCAAAATAACTTACGCCTCCCTCATCCGTCACAGCGGACAAGGCGGGCCCCATGTAGGCATCGACCTCTCCGGTCTCTGGTAAGGGCTCATTGTAGTCTCTGTAGGCATAGTCGTATTCCTTAAGGCCCACATCTCCAGTCACATACTCCTCAGTGAAGACTTCTTCACCAACATCGCCCGCTTTGGTGGCATCTACCTCCTCTCCCACCAAGGCTGGTTCGACCTGGGGCTACGATGGGTTCAGTAAAGCCGCAATAGGAAGGATACAGAGGTCCGAAAAGGAAGAATTAAACAAGGGAAGAAAAGGATGGAAGAAGCAGTAAGGAGATGAGCAGGATGGAAAGATGTTAATAAAAGAAGATGAACAGCAAAAACAAGAAGGTATGAAAGAAAGGAGCACATTCAAATAAATTAATCTTACCTTTTGCAAATATAATGTGACATTAGGACAAAAAAAGAAAAGTAGAGCTCAGAGATAGTGCCTAATGTTGATCCAGGCTGACTTTTTCAGATGTGTCCTGTCACTTTAAGTCTTATGTCAATTACTTAATATTCGCTGACAGCAGCAGGTTTTCACCAAAGCCTTTCATTATCGATCCATGAGTATTCATATTTATTTATGAGTTTGAAAATAAAAGTACATTCTAATCAACTTAACTTAGGTTCTAGATATCACAGAAGAGATAAGAACAAACTTTGTGAAAACGGGCTTCTTCTATCTGCTGTACCATGCAAAGCCAAAAACGGTATCTTGCGTCTGTACTTACCATACACGGTATACTACTAATAAAAATCCATTGGGAATATATATTACATTTTCTCAAAAATAAACAGGCAGAATGTAGCACATTCAAAGCCTTTTGAACACAAACGTGTTAGATTTTTCTTTTTGTTGTTTTTACCCGAGTAAACATAGCTAAACATTGTAGCATTAAAACTTAATATCAAAACAAATAAATCCAACAAACTAAAAAAATACAAACGTGCTTTATGTTGCAAATGAGCTGTCAGATACCCATCTTATTTCTAAACATAAATACAACGAAGTAACTCATTAACAACTGTGTTCTGTTAAGTACTTTCAAACAAGAATGCATTATATTCATCTGCTTTTGTTTCTGTGGTTAAATATGAACATCAAATATTCACATGTGGACCTGTTTTCCACAAGATTTTTGTTCTCATCTCAAGATGCCAACAATATCAACCAAGATTCTTGAGATGAGAACAAACAGCAAATCTTGTTAGAGAAAAAGAGAACCACATAAAAATATCTGATGATAAACGCAGATGAATGTGGTACATTCTTTTTTAAAACACGTTTTCTCTCACATCTTGTTACAAGGCATCGGTGCCTTTAACAGATTAGTGTGTGTTAGAAGAGTAAAGAGGAACAGAGGTATTACTACTTTGTTAACTACTTAAGACTGGGTTCACAGTCATACAGGTACACAGTTTTCATTTGATTCAGTTGGTTCAGTTGTATTGGTTAACTTTAGAGATCCTGGATTTTACTAACCTAATCCTATCTTATTCTCTAAGATATGTAAAAGCTAGATTTGATGTGTGTCCGTTTCTTTTTACCTGTACAGGTATTTCTTCTTGTCCAACCACCTCACCGTCTGGCTGTGGGACCATCTCTTCATAGTAATAATCAGTCTCTGTAGGGGTGTGGCCAGCCTCAGAATATTCTGTGTCTACATCCTGATTGGTCAGGTAGACAGGAAGTGGTGAGCAGGGAGGAAGTAAGCAGATTTGATTGAGAGCAGGGTTAGTTTATAATCTGCTTGTAAATCATGAGTAAAAAAGAAGAAATTGGAAAGCAAAATAAAATTGTGATCGCCAGACAGACACATTTTTGTTTCACTGGCAACTCACAATTTTAAACCTGTAAAAATTAATTTTAGAAAAGAAATTTCAATTAGGCTTGGATTGAATTATCAATGACTTTAAAATTTGCCAGATGCAGAATTTTAACAGTTATTGACTTTTCTTATCTGAAATTTCTTTTCATGCTTTTGTTAAACCATTTTCACTGTTTTAAGCTCACAAGCCAAGTTTCCAAAAAGGGTAAATATCCATCCCTTAAGACGGAAACATTACAGCTTGATGCTTCAGCATGTTTAGTTTCATCCATTGAAGACCAAATAACACAGAAACCAACAGCCTCACAGAACATTAACCAGCAACACATTTAACTTTATCAACTCCTGAACATGGACACATTTTCCACCTTAAAAAAAAAGAGGTCAAACTATGTAGTGTCATAAAGTTAGACTCAAAAGTTCTCTAGATTCTGTGAAGCTGTTTTTAAGAAAGACGTTTCTTAACCATAGAAATCCATGCTCATTTGTTTGACCATTACTTTAACTGTTTCCATAAAGAAGAAAAACGGAGTCTTCTAGCTGCTCAGGTTTTAAAATCCAGTTTTAGTATGAGATCAAGTAAAGAACAGTGAAGCCATGCTTCAATGTGCACCGCTGGATCATATCATACAAAGAAGTTGGGAAGGTTGTCAGAATGATAGGATATATGGAAAGATGAGAACGCAGTCAGCTTGTTAGCCTGATTTGAACCAACTTCAAACCTGACATCCAACTTGTGCATCATCAAAATGTGCATGGCTGTCGACCTAAAGCAGGATCAACTAGTCATGAAACACGACAAAAATAAAGAGGCATATAAAGATTTTACTTTGATGATGGTCAAGGCTGATAAACAGACTGGGAAGACGGGACAAACATCTCTGGACATGTTGACCCAAACATGAATCTTCATGTTGTACCTGTTGGGGAATGTCGGTTCTCTTAGCTGGGACCGAAGCTCCCCGCAGTGCAGTCTCACCAAACGGTGGGAAAGGTCTGTGGTGGGACTTAACGTTGTTGTCCATGTCCTTGAACTTTGTGGGTCTGAGCAGCGTAGGTCGAACAGGGGCACGTGTTGGAGCTTCTTTTGTTGGGACAGGAAACTTTTTGGTTGTTGGTTTGATCGGAGGGACTTTGTTGAACACACTTTTAGCTATTGTCTTCTCTTTCAGCTCTGCTTTTTCTTCGATGTTTGCTTTTGGAGATTTGGTGGCAGAAACCTTTGTAGGTTCTGGTTTTGTTATTTTTTTGGGTTTCGGTGCTTTAGTAGCGACTACATTAACAGCTGACTTGGCCGTGCTATCTACAGTGTTCGTTTTTATAGTGGTTTCACTTTTTGCCTTATTTCCAGCCACTTTGCTAACATCTTTCTTTTTGGCTTCTGAAGAAACTTTGTTGTTCCCATTTGCTTTTGCTGCACCATTGACTTTATTTTCAGCTTTGCCATTGACTTCAGTGGTAGATTTGCCATTTCCATTGGCTTTCTTTGTTGTAGTTTTACCTCCGCCATTTCCATTCACCTTAGACCCAACCATAGCTTTTCCATTTCCATTGGTTTTCTTCTCGGCAGAGGCTTTTCCATTAACTTTTGTTTCACCTACAAGCTTCCCATTTTTGGCCTCAGTTTTGGCATTGCCATTACCTTTAGATGCACCACTGGGTTTCTTTGGAGAAGCTGTTTTACCATTGCCATTCTTAACTGGGACAGCTGTGGTTTTGGCTTTAGTTGCTGTTGTTGGTTTGATCTTTGACAAGATGCCTGCAGCAGTGGGTTTAGCTTTGGATGGCTTAGCTGTAGAGGACTTGATAGCTTTGGTGGGCATGGGTGGCTTGACGACCAGTTTGTAAGGTCCAGACTTGGCTGACTTAGCTGGAGTGGGTTTAGTTGATTTAGTGGGAGCTGCTTTCCCACTGGGTGCCTTCTTCTAATATCCACGATTATAATGTTTAGTATGAAGAAGTGCATAGACAAAAAACATAGAGAGGGTAGAAAATGACAAAGATACACAGAGGGATTGGGAGGGAGATGAAAAGCACAAACAAGGGATTGACAGAAAGAGAAAAAGACAAGAGTGGATGTTTTGAGACACAGTGACATAAAGATGGCTAAGGCTTGGACGATTTGCTGAGACTGTGCAGGCATTACTGGATACAGCAGACGATCAGGTTTTAAAATACATCTAAAATAAACAATATTATCAAAAACAAACCTATAATGCACAATAAACAATACAATTTCATTACTTTGACTTGAGTTCTAAACTGGTATTTTTGCTGTTCTCTCCAGTAATGCCATTCCCACTGTCACATGATAAAGCAGCATCTTTGTTCAGTTAGGAACTGGGCACCATGGTTTAGTAGAGGCACTGAGGATGTGAATGGTCAGGTAAAGGTGGCTGTTTAACACACACACACACACACTAGTCACACAACACAAAAAGCTCACACATTATTGACCTGTTGGGTAATAAAGCATGAAACAGTTGAACTGGAAAACAGAAAAGGTTCCAGCTGTTCAGCCATGCAAAAGAAACAACTCAGAAGACATGCAAACACGTGCTTTATAAAATGATAAAATGTGGGAAAAAAGACCATACACAGGTATTTTTTGTAAATCATGCCACTACTAATAAAAAGATAATATAGTTTAAGATCTAAACAAGCTTTCAAGGTGAACTGACAACCCATAGATGTAATACAGCACCAATGGATTTTTAAACTAGTATATAAGCATTCACAGTCCATCATACAAACCTTTGATGTAAAACTAGGCATTGAATATATCTCTATTTTGAAATCTATAAAAAAGATAATCAGATGATGCAAAACTAAAGTGCATGCGGTGTTCTTAAATCTCCGTCACAAACATGCAAGTAGCAGGACAATAAGGATCCTTCATTAAACAATCGTGCAAAATTAAGAACCCAAACAGAATACGTTTATTTTAAAATAACATGCAAGGAAAGCAATTAAAAATGTGTGAAACACCAGAAAGAATCAGAAAACCAAAAGTATTAGTGTCTTCTTGTGTGGTTATGAAATGGTATTTATGTATAATGTAAAAAGGAAGATCAAATAACTCAGGTTTTCTAAACTTAGTTGTATTTGCATATTCTCTTTTTATATTACATTATATGATGGAAACTTTAATTATATTTTCTCAGAAATTTAATTTCAAAGACTTTTAGTTTATGTCTAAATTGTAAAAGAACAAAATAAAATAGTTGGACAAATTACTTCTACAAGAGGGAGTAATAAAAAAACATAGAAAGTGTGTGTGTGTGTGTGTGTGTGTGTGTGTGTGTGTGTGTGTGTGAGACACAGCTGGACCTTCAGTTCCCCAGTGCCCTCACATGGCCACGTGTGAACACACATACTTAAAAGACAACATGTGGATGACATAAGGACAAAAATATCACAAGGCGCAAAAGTAATCCTGTGTGACACAAGTAGATGAAATAAGGCGAATGTGTAGGAGATCATTCTTAATGAGGAAATGAGACATTAAATAAAAGGGAAGTATGAAGTGATGAGAGGCTTTCAGAAGTTAAATTTAAACAACTTTTATAAACATTTCCAAAGAATTTTTTTCAGCAATTTTGATAACTTGAATTATATTTAAATGATCAGAATGTGTTTTTGTTTGAATGCTCCTCTCATTCTCTCATTGCCCTTCCCTTCCACAAACCCAACTAGTGTCTTCCCTCTCTCTTGCTCCCACTTTACCTGCTGCTTGTGGTCCCCTGGTTGGGGAGAGGGGGATGAAGATGAGGAGGGAAGGCCTGTGGTTTCCTCATAATAATATGGATATTCATGGTCATCCTGCTCCTCATCAAAGTACCAAAAAGAAAGAAAAGGTGGAGGTTTTGTTTGGTTGTAAGCAAACAACCAAAGCAGTGGGTTGAATGGGGCAGGAGGATTCATGAAAGCAGGTGAAAAGCAGAAAGAATGAGAGACTGCAAAGGCCAAAGGTGAAAGACCAAAGTCATGTGTTGAAAGACTGCACCAGACAGCAAAATAGACAGACACAAATTAAAGCTGTAATTTCTCAGTTCATCAGAGTCTGCACAAGTAGCTTATAGGTGTTGACAAAAAGATGTCAGCAGAAAATCAACCCTGATGAAAGAGAAAATCATAAACAAACAAAGCCAATGAATATAACCACACTAACTTATATTCATTCAAGAAGCAGTCATCTCAACAGATTCAACATGACAGAGTAAGAGTCCTCTAGCAACCAAACGTTTATACTGGGTGTTTCTCAACGTCAAGGCGCCTGGCCTTGCGAGGCGATGTCTTGCGAGGGCAGGCGCCTTACTTACGAGGACGCTGTCCTTCCTTGGTCAAAGAAAACGGTTAAATGGAACACAGTGTTTCCCTTACATAGGCGTAGCCGTGGCAGCCTGCCATGGCTGAAATCCCAGCGCCACGCCAACAAGATCCCAAGTTTTATTGAAATTTTTTTGCGCTGTTTCCCAAAGAAGCAGCGGGAACTACTCTGTTGTTGCTTGTGATCACAGCCGGCAGGCAGCAAGGAGGAGGAGGCAGGGCAGGGTGGTTACAGCTAGGGATGAGCCGGATCCGGTATGCTCTAAGTGTTTTTCTCCCCAGAAGAAGCTACAGTGATGTTCTACTGAGCTGTGGTGGCCTCATGGAGGGGGCCATCGTCTAGCACACTGCTGCTAACCACTTAAACATTCTCCCTCTCCTGATGATAACTTTTTGCTTTCCTTGACGTTGGATGTGCTACTACTAGTTTACCCGTTTAATTATAGATTCACTAGGATAAATACAATGAAGTTTATCTCTCACCAAATAGAATATTTACTAAGAAATCACAATGTAACCATAGACACATCATTGTGTGTGTGTGTGTGTGTGTGTGTGCGCGCGTGCGTGCGTCTGCTCTGTCTTCTCGATCCCCAGTGAGTTATGGTGGATGGCTGCTTATACTGAGCCAGGATTCTCTGGAGGTTTCTTCCTGTTAAAAGGGAGTTTTCCTCTCCACTGTCGCTATATGCTTGCTTAGTATGAGGATTGCTGTATAGTCACTGACCCTAGTCAGTGACTTGATGCAATTTGCTGGGTTCCTTATACAGGAAACATTTTTTCTGATTGGCTTAATGAACTGACCTGGATTGGAATGTTTATTATGTGATGTGCCTTGAGACGACTCTTGTCGTGATTTGGCGCTTTATAAATAAAATTGAATTGAATTGAATAAAGCATTTTTGACGAATACGAGCATTAAACAAGTAAAACTCGTAAAAATCTGTAACCGTGCTGAAGGAAAATCCTGATTGGGTAACTGACTGTCTTCACGCTCTGTGATTGGCCAGTCACATCGAGCGCCCGCCCCTCCTTACACACAAAACTCTGCAGCTGGGAGCTCAGTCCAGCCCATGCATCCACGCACGCACACAGACAACGGATCTCTCTGCGCTTGCTTCAGTGTTGCACATGTTTCTTCAGAACTCCCTAGGTTTTCTTCAGCTCGCCTCTTTTTCGGTTGAATATTTAAAGCTACTTTTTTTTTGTAACGTATGTGGTGCATTTGACAAGACAGAGCTAAAAACGGATTGCGTCGCGTCAGTCACTGCCTCCGCTACGGTCGGGTTTTTTTAAATTTTAACTCTCTCTCTCTCTTACACACACACACACGCACGCACACACACACACGCACACGCACACGCACACACACACACACACACACACACCTTAATAAACATTGTTTTGTTTAACTGTGTGTGGGAAAAATGCCAACAACGTTAGGAAAAAATTCTGTTTAATCAAATTAAAATAAAAACAAAATTAAAAAGTTGTGTCTGGTTCTAGTATTTCATATTTCCTAGTTCCTACTGCATGAGTTCAGATGTATTAATTCATGCACTTAAATATTAATGTTCTTATTTAATTGAAAAACTTGTTCTGTAATAGTTCCTTTACTATTGTGATAAAAATGTTTAATCTCAATTCTGAGGTAAACTCTGTAAATGGTTTTCAAATAAACAACAGCTTATAAAGAAACAACTTCTGATCAATCCATATCAATTTCAGATTTAAAATAATGTATTGATGTAAACCACACCCACTAATTTCCAAATTATAAATAGGAGGTGCATTCATCGATGTCCTTTGATCCGCATTAGTGATGTTTTCAGCACCAGAACAATGAAGCAAAGAAACAGATTCCTGAGTTTGTTAGTAATTTTATTTATTAGGTGCATCTGACCTGTTCTGTTTTTCTCTGAAATGAGATCAAATCAGTGCTTCTATGGGTTGTTTCCTCTCTGCACTTGAAAAATGTACTTTATTACAATGTTCACTGTAATGCAAGTTGATGTTCTTAACAAATAAATTAAATCAAAAATATTGGTCAATAATGCCAAACATGTAAATTTGTGTTTCAGTCATTTTTATACTGGCTTAAAAATACTTCATTAAGTCTACTAAGCATGGGTGTAGGTTTTTAAGAGGGCCAGCCCAGTAATGATCTTGGACCAAAATAAAGGGGGCAGAAAGTCAAATAAAGGGGGCAGAAGGAGATGTTTTTCCCAACGCCAAGAAAAATTAAATGCCAAATCCCCCTGCAAAGTGTGTCACAGAGTTTAAAACAAAAATTATTCTTGTGCAAATATTGGTGTAATCACCTTTAATACTAGTTATTAAAATGCAGCAGTTGCTGGATTGGTGCAGTTCAAAGTGGAGTGCATCAAATAAAACAATATTAACATAAAGGTGAGACGTGTCATAATTTCACCCCTCCCACCACCACAGCTGGAAAAATTCCTAGGGGAAAGACTAGAAAAGACTTGCATCACGTGACCGCAGCTTCCATGGTGGTCACGTAAAGTCACGTGACACGGGAGATTACGTTATATTTTATACGTATTAGTTTCAATATAAATATATAACGAGCCTTTTACTTTTTAAATTGTGTATATATTTGTTAAATTAAAAATATAAGTGAGTTACTACCCGCTAGCCACCGAAGCTGCAACTACTAAGCAACTAACCAACCATAGATAACTTCTTTGGATCTAAAAAAAAAAAACATTTTAAATTAGCTGACTTACTTTTAAATTTGAAAATTGTCCCTGAAGTAGCTGCCGGCTTCTGGTCCGCCGTCTTTTTGAAAATGCAGCAGTGTATTGTGGGCAATTTTTGACCAAGGCTAGGCTACAAGACACCTCCCGTGTATCCTGCTCAGCTAGCTAAACGGCTAACAAACGGAGAACACACGCCTCGGTAGAACATGAACATTGGAACACGTCTTGGCGGCCGTTGATCAAATCAAATCAAATCAGATACTTTATTAATCCCAGAGGGAAATTAGAGTTTCAGTACACACAGTTCAAAGAGTTGGTGACTGTGGTCATTCGCAACCCTGAGTTGCGCTACCTTTCAATCTCCTAGGCAACCGGGGCGGGGCCAAGACATCAAGGCAAGGTTCCTTGGCATTGAGAAACACCCACTGATTCAGACCAGGCATGCAAGCTTGGAAACATGTATTTTGAATGAATGAATGAATGCAGATGAAATTTATTTGTTTACATAAATCTGTGATAATGACGATGAGGAATGTCGACTCTGGGAAAAGCTTGCAAAGCCTATTATGCATGTGATGTGCACAACCAGTCTCAGAAGACCCCTCCTACATCAAACTTTAGCCAAATTTTATGTCACAACTTTACCAGAATAATCATCTGAATTTAATTTCCATAAATTATGTGTTCAGCTGGTTCTCTTCATTTCAATCTATCAGAATAAAACAAGGAGGGGTTCATGTTTTATTGTATCATCCTTTTCCCCTACCTTTCTGTGTTCCATTGCAGTAGAGCGGGAAACAGTGACAGCTAGTCCACTACTGAAAGTGTGTATCGTGATTAAAATGTCCATTATAGTGGGAAAAGTTTTGTAAGGAACATGACTATCCGGCTTTTCTAAATATCAGGAGCAAGCTTGTTTATGTGCAATATTTCAGTGATTACAATCTCAGATGGTGTAATCACTGAAATATTGCACATAAATTCCCACTGCATGTTGGCAGTGTGCAGGAGTACTGTTCTGCCTCTTTGGATCTAGCTCAATCTGCATCTATTTGAAGTAAACGATGAGCAACATAAGTTTATTCTAAATACCACAGGACACACAGATTGTGATGGTGAGGGGAAAATCGGATGGATACAACCTGTTGCTGCTGATGAGACGAGGATGCACGAGGAAGACAGAAAGGGTGAGCAGGACTTTGATGATGTTATCAGATGACCCAATCTGAGCCTGAGGACCTTTTAACCAGCCTGTCCATCTGCTGAAGCTTTGTTACTAAATATAGTTAATGATAAATAAAAAATCTAAACAATTTTCCTTTAAAAGGGTAAAAGGAAAACGGCTACATTACAAAGAATTTTTTTTTTTTGTAATGGGAAACGTAAGTAAAAACCACTGGACCACACCACCAGTGGCAAAAAAGTGAATAGGTCTACGCTGTTGGGTGGCCTCTGGTATTTTGTTGGATTTCTAACTTATTGTAAATATTTCTCTTCTTTTTTTTCCCCTGATCTTCCCCAGGTCCACACTGGGGGCATCAGCGGCGCTGAACAGCAGCAGAACGTTGCAAATTCAAATATAATCCATACAGTCTATGGGTTTGATCCAAACTGGCAATGGCACCCAACTTTTCAGGTGGTGGTGTGCTGCTAAATGCATGACAGGGTTATATTTTAGCCGTGGGCCGCTTTTTGGGATGCGTCAATTTCAGCAAATAACACAGGGCTAGACAGGAACTCACACTTGGTATCAGTGTAATACGTCCGGTAATTTTCAAAATAAAAGCCTATTGCAGAGATGTGCTTTCTTATCTATGTAGATAAGATAACATCTATACGTGTGATCTCACGGCTTATTTAGTCCCAGTATCTTTCAAGAAGCGCAACAGCGTGTTTTTCTTCATGGATGTGATGTCCATTTTCCTCTTCCTGCTTTAATGGTGAATTAAGTGTTGAGGGATTTGATGACTTCACAAGCCCAGCAAGGAGGACGTTAGAGATGCTGCATCGCTTGCAGTGTGGATTAACGCACCTAGTAAAAAAAAACGTCTTGCTGCAGTTTTGTGCCGCTGATGCCCCCGGTGTGGACCCAGGGTTACGCTACAAAAGCGGCCATTTATTTTCAAGGGAAAAAGGTTTATTAAAAAAAATCCAATCTAGATGCAGTTAATTTTTGTCCTTACATTACTTTGTCATTCAAGTCTATGGAGAACATGACCCTTGTAAATAAAGTCCCCAGACTCTTATTGGGTCAGCTTTACTGGAGCTATAAATGAGCCTAAAATTAAAAGTGTACAGCGTACAATATCTGTCTGAGGATTTTTACTTTAGGTCAAATTACTCATTTGTCTTGCTAGTTCTAATTAGATTTCCATGTGGCTGTGTGACATTTTGTAACTACATAAATGTCGATCGAATTTGGGAAGAATAATGGTTATTCGAGCTATTCTACCTTGGTGAAACTTATATTTGCATGGACTTGTTCTGTGGTGTTACTCACGTATGTGTTTGGGTCCTGAGCCTGGGTCTTGGGAAGAGGGGAGTCACAGTCAGGACTGTAGTGTTCACAGAAGTCATAGGCCGCCTGAGGGTTGGAGGCAATTAACAGCTGCTGGATGTCTCCCTGTAAAACAAACAAAAACAATTATAATTTATTTATGATCTCAGACTCAACAGAAATGTTTAATCTTTGTAGAACCAGTGGAAGTGCTTTCAGTCACCTAACAATAAGGTTTACTTTCTCAAGATTCTGACCTGGAAAACCTCCTCATCAAGCAGACGAGCTCCAAACACTGTGATGCCATTGGTGTCAATCACAGCATTGTTGCCCCGGGGAAGAGGACGGGTCATCTTCTTCTTGCAGTCCAACAGCAGAGTCACGTTTTTCTTGGAAACGGAGAAGGCAATGCGATGCCACCTAGTGACAGAAGAAGAATCCGTGAGCAAACATTTATGTCAAATAAAGAATAAAGAAACCAACCATCTCCTACATCATGCAGATCATACTATTCCTAACCACCACCACCCACATAACCACAAATAACTCATCTCAACCAGTCACAAACTGGTGTTGCTGGTTACTGACTTGCCATCAGCCAGGTTGATGCCTTTGAAAAGCGGGTAGTCCTCAGGAGCTGGCTTTCCATTCTGGTCTTCGTACAGAAAAACAGGCGAGCGTCCCATTTCAATGCCCAGTTGCTGAATGCCCTGCTCACTGTAGATAGAGAGGAGGAAAGCTTGGAGACCAGCCTGGGCCTTTATCAGAGCCATGATGGAGAAGTTCTCTGGGAAACGCCCTAAAGGTGGAAGGAAAGATAAAAAACTTAATAAATATTAGCAGAAAAGGTAGAAATGCCCCAATAAAAAGATTTAATAAATCATATAAATGTGCCCTTTAGAAAAAAGTGTGTTTAGATTACCCAAACCCTGTGTATAAAATATAGTGGCTCTCTGGTGCTGTGAATAAGTGACTATAGTACTGAATAAGGGAAATAAAATAGAAAGAACTGATCAAAGATACAGGTAACATCTAAATGAGAAGTGATAGTTCACAAAAAAGTAGACAAGACACTAGGAGCTGTGTTTGGTGGCACCGCTGAAAATAAAGCAATGAGAGAAATTCACCCACACTAAAATGCATCAGAACGAATCAAGATGTGAGCTAATAATAACAGGCTGTACAAAAAAATAACAAACATAAAAAGAGGTGGAAATCATTTTGCACTTAAGAAGATTTTACTTAACATAAGTGAGGCTTTTTATTTTCTATTCACAAGTGCAGAATCACATAATTATCAAATTAACAAATCAGAACAAAGCACAAACTTTCTCTCTGAAATTTAAAAGGCTTCAAAATTAATTCAAAGCTAAGCTAGTTAGCAAGCTGCAATAATTACGTTTCACATTATAAAACAATCAATCAAATCAAATGTACGTTATTAATCCCAGAGGGAAATTAAGAGTATTCAAAATACTCTAGCCTCGAATTTATAAGCAAACCTTTGCTTCACAAAACAAACGTTCATCGTATCTTTCATCTAAATATATCATCATCATCAAAACTTACATGAATATATTAATGGGAGAAATCAGGACAAAGAAGGCGGAAAGTCGTTTAGCGATAGATAGCTAACATTAGCTGCTCGTTAGCTAGCTAGAAAGCATAAATGTTTGTATTCGCTACTATTTCCTGTCCTTTACTTAATATTACGCAGTTACTCACGGTAAAACAACAAAATAAATGTTAAAAAACCGCCAACTATCTATTATGACAAATATCTTGGCTTGTATCGGTGCCCATAAAAGCTAGCTTAGCCCTAGCCTGAAGTTGTCCTGAAGGTCACGTGCGCTTCCTCTGAAGTTCAACCAACGAATGAATGATTGATTGAATGAATGAGGCGTTTTGATAAGATGTTGGTTTTTCATAATTCTTCTTACAAAAAAGTAAAGCATTACTGCACGTCTTAATGTTTATAAATATTAAATAACTTTTATTTTGACTAAAAAAATTTTACTTAACAAAATTTCACATTTCAACTGGAATAGCCAGGTAATTTATGTGTTTTTCTATTTGTCATCCGTTCATATAAAGCATAAAGATTTGTTTCTATGACATTTTATGAGATTCACTACTTTTTCCACTATAAAAATAAAAATTCCAAAAAAAATTTACTATTAGAAAAAATGAAGAAAAAAAACATCAATTTAGTACCTCTTTTTGTGAAATCATGAAACCTATATTAAAACATGACTTAGTATATACAAATAAATATCTTTATTGTGAAGCAGTCACCTTAAATACTATGCATCAGTCTGAGAACTACCTGAGAAGAGCTGCTTGGTGGGGGCAGAGATCTGGGCCTTCTTGGTGATGCGGTAAGCATGATCAGGGCTGCTGGAGCGACGGGATGTGCAGAAGCCAGGGACTTTCTTCACACCCTCGGGGAGAGAGGGAACCTGCAGAGCCCGCAGCACATCAACTGGATCTGATAAAAGAGAAACAAGTGAAGAAATTAATTTTATTGCTAAATAAACAAACAATGAACCCTTTATCAAATGTTATGTAGCTTAAACTTGACGTACAATTACAATTTCATATCATACATACCATTAAGCAAGCTATTTAGTAGTTTGATGAATAATGTAGTTATTGTTTCCAACAACTTTACAGCTCTACTGACTCTGCTTTCAATAAAGTTGATGTTAAATGTTTCAGCTGTACTAATGTGATACGGGATGTAGTATCGGAGGTGTTCACTGAACATTTAGGTAAACTATAAGAAAGGATGCTCTGTGCTGGAGGAGATGGGCAACAGTCCAACCACCATTTATGAGCGAGTGCACGGTGGGCACAGCAAAGCTCAGCTTCCATCTGAATGAAGACAATCTCGTCTGTTAGCAGCTGGGACGAGTGGCTGTTGATGTGATAAAGTACTGAGTCAAATTAATATTTATTTGGTATCACAGTCATGTTACTATTCATATGACATAAATATGGGATCTAAAATGTTGAAATCCACACAAACTCCTGTGATGCTCTAATATAACACTAATACAGAGTTAGACAGTGAGCCAGTCTATCATCCTGTCACACACTAAACTAGTTTGCTTACCCACCTCCAGTCTGAGCTGCAGCCTCCTGACACACTTCAAATAAACAATACTGACTCTTTAAAAAGACAAATTTTATTTACACACAAGTGCTGACATAAAACAAATCATGCATCTCAGAACTAACTTGAACACACATTCCCATATTAACGCTGTTTTTTAAATAATTGCTCAATCTAACATGAATAGTTTCATCAGTATCTCTTCATGGCTACTCTGCCCTGCTGTCTAGGAACATCACTAATAACTAAAGCAAAATCAACAAAGGTTTAAAAACCAAACACTGGCATGCATTACAAAAGTTTGACTTAGGTCGTCGTCGTCTTCCTCCGCTTATCCGGGTCCGGGTCCGGGTCCGGGTCGCGGGGGCAACATCCCAACTAGGGAGCTCCAGACCGTCCTCTCCCCGGCCTTCTCCACCAGCTCCTCCGGCAGGACCCCAAGGCGTTCCCGGACCAGATTGGAGATGTAACCTCTCCAACGTGTCCTGGGTCGACCCGGGGGCTCCTGCCGGCAGGACATGCCAGAAACACCTCCCCAGGGAGGCGTCCAGGAGGCATCCTGACCAGATGCCCAAACCACCTCAACTGACTCCTTTCGATCCGGAGGAGCAGCGGTTCTACTCCGAGTCCCTCCCGAATGTCCGAGCTCCTCACCCTATCTCTAAGGCTGAGTCCGGCCACCCTACGGAGGAAACTCATTTTGGCCGCTTGTATTCGCGATCTTGTTCTTTCGGTCATTACCCAAAGCTCATGACCATAGGTGAGGATTGGGACGTAGATCGACCGGTAAATCGAGAGCCTGGCTTCCTAGCCCAGCTCCTTCTTCACCACAACAGATCGGCTCAGCGTCCGCATCACTGCAGATGCCGAACCAATCCGCCTATCGATCTCCCGATCCCTCCTACCCTCACTCGTGAACAAGAACCCGAGATACTTAAACTCCTCCACTTGAGGTAGGACCTCTCTCCCGACCCGGAGTTGGCAAGCCACCCTTTTTCGTTCGAGAACCATGGTCTCAGATTTGGAGGTGCCGATCCTCATCCCAGCCGCTTCACACTCGGCCGTGAACCTACCCAGCAAGAGCTGAAGGTCAGAACTGGATGAAGCTAGGAGGACCACATCATCTGCAAAAAGCAGAGACGAGATTCTCCTGACACCAAACTCGACACACTCCATCCCACCCTGCACCTAGAAATTCTGTCCATAAAGGTAATGAACAGAACCGGTGACAAAGGGCAGCCCTGGTGGAGTCCAACCCTCACCGGGAACAGGTCCGACTTACTACCGGCTATGCGGACCAAACTCACGCTCCTCTGGAAAAGGGACTGAATGGCCCTTAACAGAAAGCCACCCACCCCATACTCCTGGAGCGTCCCCCACAGGGTGCCCCTGGGGACACGGTCATAAGCCTTCTCCAAATCCACAAAGCACATGTGGATTGGTTGGGCAAACTCCCATGCCCCCTCCATCACCCTTGCAAGGCTATAGAGCTGGTCCACAGTTCCACGGCCAGGACGAAAACCACATTGCTCCTCCTCAATCTGAAATTCAACTATCGATCGGACCCTCCTCTCCAGTACCTTGGAGTAGACCTTTCCAGGGAGGCTGAGGAGTGTGATCCCCCTATAGTTGGAACACACCCTCAGGTCACCCGTCTTAAAGATGGGGACCACCACCCCGGTCTGCCACTCCACAGGAACTGCTCCCGATGACCACGCAATGTTGCAGAGACGTGTCAACCATGACAGCCCTACAACATCCATAGCCTTGAGATACCCAGGACGAACCTCATCCGACCCCGGGGCTCCGCCGCTGTGTAGTTGTTTGACTACCTCAGCAACTTCTGCCCCCGAGATTAGACAGTCCATCCCCAGGTCTCCCGGCTCTGGTTCCTCCTCGGAATGCGCGTAGGTGGGATTCCACCACCTTCCACCACCCGACTGTAGCCCCAGTTGACGTCAGCAGCTCCCCATCCCCACTGTAAACAGTGTGAGCGAGTTGCTGCCTTCCTCTCCTGACAGTTTGCCAGAACCTCTTTGGAGCCGATCGATAGTCTTTCTCCATGGCCTCACCAAACTCCTCCCACGCCCGAGATTTTTCCTCGGCAACTGCCACTGCTGCACCCCGCTTGGCTATCCGGTACCTGTCTGCTGCCGCAGGAGATCCACAGACCAGCCACGCCCTGTAGGCCTCCTTCTTCAGCCTGACGGCTCCCCGAACCTCTGGTGTCCACCAGCGAGTACGGGGGTTGCCACCACGACTGGCACCGGCCACCTTGCAACCACAGCTAGCAATAGCCGCCTCAACAATCGCAGAGTGGAACAAGGCCCACTCGGATTCGATGACCCCCACTGCTCTTGGGACGCGGTCAACGCTCTGCCGGAGGTGGGAGTTGAAGACCGTCTTAACAGGTTCTTCTGCCAGGCGTTCCCAGCAGACCCTCACTATGCGTTTGGGTCTGCCAGGTCTACGCAGCATCTTCCCCTGCCATCTGATCCAACTCACCACCAGGTGGTCAGTTGACAGCTCCTCTCTTCACTTGAGTGTCCAAAACATACGGCCACAGGTCAGATGATACGACTACAAAGTCTATCATCAACCTGCGACCTAGGCTGCCCTGGTACCAAGTGTACCGATGGGCATCCTTATGTTCGAACATGGTGTTCGTTATGGGCAAACTGCAGCTTGCACAGAAATCCAATAATGAAACACCACTTGAGTTCAGATCAGACGGGCCGTTCCTCCCAATCACACCCCTCCAGGTCATGCTGTCATTGCCCACGTGAGCATTGAAGTCCCCCAGCAGCTCTAACCACTGTGCCACTGCGCAGCCACTAAATCTAATTATCCCAGTTAAACCAGTTACGGACAGGTTTAAAGTGAGGCAGCCATAGAACTAAAACAGGAACCTGTATTCACATTTTCCCAGTTTTCCTCCCTCGGTCTGTGTTCGAGCTGCAGCAGAGAGCCAGTTTAGTTTTTAACAGTCAATTAAATCCATTTGCAGCCAGCCCTGCTGCGGCACTCCCCATAATAAACTTACAGGGTCACTGATGCTTTTCTCTGGTTAAATCAATGCAAGATCTAAAGCCACAATAATAAACTCTAGTGCCCCAAAAAGCTAAATATTTATATAGAAATGAAGTAATTTGACCTTGAGATGTGTAAAATCACAGCTAGCACAGCTGTTAGGGACCCCCTTTACCACCGAGGACACCGCTGGGTTAAGTATAACAAACTCTTGTAGAAAGTCAGAAAGTTAAAAGTGAAAATCCACCAAACTTATTTTAGCTACAAAACTTAACTCAGGATATCTTCAAAGCAGATTCTGAAAAAAAGAGTTGAATCCACCTGCAACCCTGACAATAAAAGATGGATGAACGTAGTAATGCTATAACATCGGATAGAGTGAACATTTTACAGGAAAATAGGATAAAATTTGATGCGATGTTTCCTTGTTTTTGTTCTCATTTCCTGCAAATCCCTTCAGAGGTGCTTATGTTTGGGTAACCCCCAGTGTTTCAGAGCTAACAGTTATTCAGATGGGTCTGCAGATGATAATATTTACCCAGAGAGGCCAAATGGTGCATTCATATGGGTGCCTAGACCTCCGCCAAATGTAACTCTACACCAGAGAGAAATGGGGAGAGAAGAATCAGCGAGGGGAAGCAGGTAGGGGGAAAGGGGAGGGTGCAAGATGAAGAAATTAAAATTATGCAGGTAAAATGGGTAATGTGAGTTTAAATGAACAAGCTCACGCAGAAATGTGAGAAAAGGTTGTCTGAATGGGTTTTTTAACAGAAGACTTGGTAGAGAGTGTGGAGTTATGATCAATGGAGATTTTATGTCGATTTAAGATCTGTTTTGAAACAGAATTTTTAAGAATTTTGCAGATTTAGAAGAGAACATTATGTCTGAAGCATGGAAGGAAGTGTGTGTGCGTGCGTGTGTGTGTGTGTGCTAGCGTGCGCGCGTGCGTGTGTGTGTGCTGGGGTGGGAAGGTTTGTGGAAGGTTTCAGAAATATCTGAATAAAGCCATTAAATAAATGAAATGTGCTCACATTTAATTTAAACAGATTCTAACATTTTATTTGTTCATTAAGGTTTATTCTCATTCAGCTGAGCTATTAATAAAAATAGCTTTAAAAGGTAAAGCTAAATTATGATGTGTTGGTGAATAATAGAACACTAAACTATGGGATTAGCTTAATGAACTGACCTGTACCGGAATGTTTGCAGTGTGAAGTGCCTTGAGACGACTCTTGTCGTGATTTGGCACAATAGAAATAAACTTGGATTGAATTGGGGTCAGTGAGACTTTAAACAATGTTTTCATGACTGAAGTTATCTCAGAGCTGTTCTCCAGACAACACCAGCCACATAACAACATTTACACATGGAGGCAGGTTCCTTATAAAAGGAGAAACTACTAAAGTTTGATGT